GGCGTCGTCAGCGCCTTGACTGCAGGGTCGAGAATCAGCTCACGTAGCTGGTTCTACTGGCGCCTCCAGGCGCCAAGAGTCGCCCATGCATCGAGGGCTGGGCCCGGCGGCGGGGCGGAAACTGGCTGCATGCAGCAGACTTCGTAACCCCCCTTTCCCATATCCCTATCCTGGCAGAGAGCCGCCGCCCGGGGATCGATCGTCGGGGGCCTCGGCAGGCGGCGGACACGGATGTGATCCTAAGGCCCCGAGGATCCACCACCTGCCGAGGGCCCCGAAGATCGACTCCCAAGGCTGTGTCAATCAGTAAGCCAGGCGCCAGGCAACGGCGCATCGGCAGGGAATCGACAGGAGCACTGCTTTCCCATATCCCCTTTCCCGTATCCCCTGCTTTCCCATATCCCTATCCTGCCCTCTCGTCCGGCCCGGTAGACATGGTCCAGGTCGGGTCTGGGCAGATGCCGGACGGGTGCCGGGGAGAATCCGCGGAAGTCGTTTTACGCAAACAGTGTTACACACTTCGTGGTCTTCGAGGTCCCAGAACTCCATTCCCGGGCCACATTCCGAATGCCCGGAGCCAACTGTAGGCCACTTCGTGCTCTTCGAATTCCCAGAACTCCATTCCCGGGCCGCATTTTGAATGCCCGGAGCCAACTGTAGGCCACTTCGTGGTCTTCGAGTTCCCAGAACTCCACTCCTGGGCATGAGTTTGAATGCCCGGAGCCAACTGTAGGCCACTTCGTGTTCTTCGAGTTCCCAGAACTCCATTCCCGGGCCACATTTTGAATGCTGAGGCAGGCTGAGCTGAGGCTGATGCAGGCTGAGGCTGAGGCAGGCTGAGGCTGAGGCCGAGGCTGAAGGCAGACTGAGGCTGAGGCTGAAGCAGGCTGAGGCTGAGGCTGAGGCAGGCTGAGGCTGAGGCTGAGGCAGGCTGATGCTGAGGCAGGCTGAGGCTGAGGCTGATGCTGATGCAGGCTGAGGCTGAGGCAGGCTGAGGCTGAGGCCGAGGCTGAAGGCAGACTGAGATGCTGAAGCAGGCTGAGGCTGAGGCTGAAGGCAGGCTGAGGCTGAGGCAGGCTGAGGCTGAGGCAGGCTGAGGCTGAGGCTGTGACTGCGACTGCCGTTGCCACTGCGACTGTCATCGCGAATGCGACTACGACTGCGAGAACAGCAGAATTCTACAACTGGATTCTCGTCTGAATCTGAAGGGGAATGCTTCCAAATATGCTCCTGCACATCGCTGTTAGGTTGCTTTGCCGGGATAATCCCTGCATCTTTGATACATGATCCGCCCGCGGGGCATGTATAAAAAAACGGCACTGTATGGTTGTCGCCCACGAAAAAAAAGTTGTTTGACACCCTCGGCGTGCAGCGGGAAGCCGTCCCCGAGCCCACCGGGGGCCGCCAAGGAACGGATCGGGACGACGCGTGGGTCCCGGAAAATACGATAAAGGAAACTACGATAAGACCAACGAGGCAACAGGAACGATGTCGAGCGCCGCGTCATGATTCGGACGAGCTTCGTGGAATGCAGTCCTGGAGGCGCAGTAGTTTCCATAGAGGGGTCGGCGGATGTGGCGTGAGCCTATGTAATCAAGCACCGACACACACAAACCTCTGGCCCGTCCGTGACAACCCCCTGAATCACCAAACGTACACACACACACACGTCCCGTACTCGGCTACACGTAACAGTGACCCTGGGTAAGAGAGTGACCTTTGGTGCGCAACTTTTGGGGGGCCGCGGGGAGGCCGAATCCAAGCGCGCTGGCCGCAGCTACCGCGTTGCGTTCGGCCATCCGGGGGCCCATCTGTGCCCGCACCAGAGGTCACTCCGGCGGAAGGTCACCCTTACGTCTAGTCGACGTACACACACACGATGGCCATCACGCTCGGGTTCACTGTGAGGAGGAGGAGGAGGAGGAGGAGGAGGAGGAGGAGGAGGAGGAGGAGGAGAGGGAGGGGGAGGAGGAGGAGGAGGAGTAGGAGGAGGAGAGGAGGGAGGAGGAGGAGGGGAGTGGATGAGGAGGAGGAGGAGGAGGAGGAGGTGGTTTCGCCGGCGGGCGGAGCGGCGGAGCGATGACGACCACTGCCTCTGCGGCTGGGGCGGTCGCCGCGATCTCCTCGGCGGGCGGCGGCGGAGGCCGCTCGCGCGGCTCGCGGCACGGGCAGCAAGATGCCGCGACCTCCGACGACATGTTGTTTGCTGTTCGGTCCCGGCGTGCTTCTGCCGATCTGGCTCCTGGCACCGCGACCAGAGGAGGAGGAGGCGGAGGAGGAGGAGGAGGCGGAGGAGAGAAGAGGATGAGGAAGAGGAGGAAGGAGGAGGATGAGAGGAGGAGGAAGGGGGGGGAGGAGAGGGAGGAGGGGGATGTGGGAGGAGGAGGGGGAGGGGAAAAGGAGGAGTACAAGGAAAAACAGGGGTGGAGAAAGGAGGAGTAGGCTGAGGGATGGGGGAGGAGAAAAGAGGAGGAGGGAAGAAGGAGGGGAGGTCAGGAGAAGGAAAAGAAGAGAACAAAGGAGAGGAGGAGGAGGGAGAAGGAGCGGGGGCGGGAGGAGGGGGGGAGAAGAAGATGATGATGATGATGATGATGATGATGATGGTGATGATGGTGATGATGATGAGGAGGAGGAGGGGGAGGAGGAGGAAGAGGAGGAGGAAGAGGAGGAGGAAAGGGGAGGGGGAGGCAAGGGAGGAGGATGAGGATGAACATGAAGATGACGATGAGGATGAGAATGAGGATGATGATGATGATGATGATGATGATGATGATGGTGATGATGTTGATGATGATGATGGTGCTGCTGATGATGATGATGATGATGATGAGGAGGAAGGGGAGGATAACGAGGAGGAGGAGGAGGAGGAGGAGGACAAGGCAGGAGCACTTACGAGCCAATTGGTCACTGTTTAGCTGGATGGGGAAACCTTGGCGGCTTTGAATCAGTGTGGCTGAGAATGTGGATACGGCCTTGTGAGCGCTGTATGGAAGCGCCTACCAGCGGCCCCGCGGGGGGATTCCACAGGCCTACAGAGGGACCAAACGGGGACAAGACCGACCCCTTGAGGCCCTCCAGAGGCACCTTATCCCCTGAGAGGTCCAGGTGCGAGTCAAGAGAACGCAATCCTCCAATATCCGCCGGCCCCCTTGTGGGGCCACCAGGCTGTAGGCCGAAGCTTCGCAGTTTCCTGTGCCAGTTGCAGCTTCCAGTTTCCACTGTTATAATTCTGCTTCTTGCTGCTTACTCTTCCTTGTTGATGGACCGCGCGAAGGGGGGAGGCCCAAAACGGGCGTTTTTACTACGCCCTGAACGTGTTGTCTGAATTGCTGGAGTGGGTAAAAATTTACACCCCTCACGCAGATCGGCGGGGTCAGGGTGCAAAAACACATGGGGTTTGCCACATTTCTGGGTGGCACCCCTCACGCAGATCGGCAGGGTCAGGGTGCAAAAACACAGAGGATGTGCCACATGTTTGAAATTCGGCGGCACCCCTCACGTAGATCCGTAGTGTCAGGGTGCAAAAACAAACATGGGATTTGCTACATGTTTGAAATTCGGCGGTCAGGGTGCAAAAACACATGGGATTTGCTACATTTTTGGAATTCGGCGGCACCCCTCTGGCAGATCCGTAGGGTCAGGGTGCAAAAACAAACAGGTCCCGACACTGCTTCACGGCGGCGCCCAGACCTCATGAATTGGCTGTTGCATCTCCCATCATCTGAGACAGGGGGCCGGCGGCATGGGGCGAAGCCCTTACGGAAAAGTCTCATTCGTGAGCGGCATGCGGGGGGGTCAGGCGCATCGGAAGGAGGAGGGGGAGGGGCGAGCAGGGGGAAGGGGGAAGGGGACTCAACCGAGGAGAAGGGGAGGCCACTAGTCATCAGTCGGATCCTGGAGCACCCTTGCAGCAGACCAGTTGCATCTATACTGGGCTCCACGGGGGTCCCGACTTGTTGAAACATGTAAAACCATGTAGATCCAGCTTTCTATTCGAATATCGGCCTCGCATATTTCTGCTGCGACCTGGCAAAGGCCTCATCATTCAGAAATCCTCTTTGCAATAGCTCTAACGCCGCTTCCGATTCATTTATCGGAATAAATCTGGCAACTTTTTTGCTGCACCTGCTTCTGGACGGCCTCGCGAGACAGCCCGATGCGATTCACCAGCTTCTCCGCGCCCCTCTCCATCGCGCTGCGAGGCGCTGATCCTGGCTTGAACGGGCCCCCCTGAACCCCCACCGCCTGCGAGATCGCTTCGTGAAGGGTGAGCAATTCTGTATTGTTGATCTCGCAGAGCTGGAGTCTGCTGAGCCGGTGCTACCATGAACTGAAAATAATACATCTGCGGTTCCGAATGCTGCTTCTTGTCGTAGTGACAGGCCCTCAACCGTAGGAGCCTCGCGTGCCCTGCGCGGTGCGTAGTGCGACCTTCAGTGGCATAGCTACGATCGTGTTCCAATAGCGTGTCAGAGTTGCTTTGACTGGAAGCAATGTCTGCTGCTTGCATGGCCAGGTAGAAGAGAAACCCGAGAAACACTTGAGGCCAGCGGCCCCGGACCATGATCCTTGCCATTTTCCTTGCACTTGCTGCCGTAATCCTGGCCTGCATTCTGCGCAATCGTGATGGGCCCCGCCGTGGGCGGGGCCAAACAGCAACTGAAAATGGCGCCGATGAGCTCGGCCAGCTCGCGGCTCGTGCAGGGCGAGGCGGCGCAGGATGGTGATGGAGCTGCCGGCGCTGAGCCCGCTCCCCTCTTGTTGCTGAGAACCTCCTCTTGGGGTTTGACTAGCTTGCCCCGGAGGGCGGAGCCTCCTGCTTTGCGCTTGCCTTGTGGCGCTTGTTTGCCGGCTCCGCCGCCGTCGTCCACAACAGGTAGGAGTATGAAGTGCTGTCGTATATATAGAAGAAGTCCAGGCGTCGATTCTGCATGAGCCTCACGCAACGGACAAGATGTCGCACTGGACTGGCTGCCCCGATACGTTGAACTTCCAGAATACACGCACGCGCACTCCCGTCTTAAAACTTCCGACAGCATGCTGATTGGCCGAGTCCCTGGATTCGAATATACTCTCGCATGCAAAACATCGATCGGATAATATCGCTTGTCCCAGAACCGAAAAGTGCCCATGGTAATTTTGCAAATGGGCCAGAAGCTGGCGCTCGTTGTTGAATGCTCTGCCACGCCCAGGTGCCGCGCATCTATAATTTGCTAACTCCGTAATAACTTTGGGCGTATTTGTTCTGTCGATCGAGTGCGCCATCGAATGGCCAGGAGAGGGGGTGCATGCACCAACCCATTTCGCTCTGATAACCTCGGGGTCCAGGAGCGCGAACCAATCGACGTGCTCGGGGGAGTTGAAGAGGCGGAATGGCATTTGGTTAAACTCGTGTATCTTCTCGTGCTCGTCGTCTCCTAGACCCTCTAGAGACGCGGCGTCGGATGCGAAGCGGCGAGCCCAGGGGCAAGCGCATTCAGAGAGCTGTCCTTCCTCGTTCAATATAGCGAGCCCAAACTCCCCCCCCGCTCGCGTCGCCCCCAGGAGTGCCCCCCATTCTGCTTATATGTCTGTGTGGCTCACGAACCCAAGACAAATGCCATTCAGTTCGCCCGGCGCGATATTCTATCTCCAAGGGCGCTATTTCCCAGAGTCAGAAAAATATCGGCGTCCGAGATCGAGACCGCATGAGAGCCCGTGAACTTATTAGCGGCCTCTCCCCTCGGGGATTTTCTAGCATGCGACAGAATGCGAGCCTGGATCTTCTCGCTTTGTGCAGAGGCGGGGGCGAACGCTTCCGGCCCGGGGAGTGCCGGGCCCAAAGTTCTGCTGAGCAAGGCTGTTCATTTTTCTCTGCGCGGCAGACGCTCCTGGTATCAGTGGCGCCCCATAGCTGCAGGCCCAGCAACGATCGCCTCCAATCTGCATGGAAGCTCGCTTGCAAACGTCGCGCCTGCCTGGGGAATGCCACCCGACAGGCGTGCTCGATCGTGATTCTGCCTGCAAGGGGAAGATGCCCATCTCGAAATTGTTTGCGAGGCAACTGAGGAGTCTGGCCAAAGACTGCCGTCGCGCCCTCATTTTCAATGATGATTCGATAATTGTGCCGCTTCGTTTAGTCTTGCAACTGATGCCCCCTGGCCCCTGAGAGCACGCGGTTGCGTTGAGATGTCGATGCCGTCCAAAAAGAGCCTCATGATCTCTCGCGATCGCGTCGCTGCGAGCTGCGAGTACAGACGGAGAGGTACTGCCAAAAGCGTTCGTGGAATACATGTGATCCCAAATGCATGAAAGCCCGAGCCGTCGAAGTCGCCATCCAAGTGATTCCTGTACCATCATCGGGTTTTCTCTCCTCCTGGCCGCTACGCATCCGCGCGCAAAATTGGGCTCGAGATTGCGTTGTGAAGGACATGCGCGCGTGGGAATAAACGCCTTCTCACGCGGACATAAAACGTGACTGACCCTCTTCCGCGTCGCAGCCACTCCGTTGGAAACGTTCAAAGCCAGTGGCGACTCGCCAGTCCTATGGATATTGTGGAGCATACTCCTGAAGAAAGCGCGAATGCCTCGCATCTCAAGTTTGCGCTGTTCAAAGCCGAGTCCACTGAACCTCGGCGACGTTCGTCGGCGCGGATGGGAAAAACCGGATAGTTCTAGAGGAAGAGACAATGGTGGAACTGCTTTCCTTTTTGTTACGCTTTACGGGTTTGCTGGCCAATGAGCTCGAATATGTCGCGAGCTCAGTCAAGTCCTTGTGGTCCGCAAAGGTAATCATCAACATGGGCATCCCAACTTGGAATGAAGCCTGCGCCAGTGCCACCTTCGCCGGGCGAGAGCGGGAGACGCCTGTGCAAATCAGTGGAGGTCGACAATGCTGAAACCACTCTCTTATAGTTTCTTTTTCGCGGCCCAAAATCTCTAGCTGAGAGTCGTGACAATCTTGCAACTTCAGCTTTCCGACCATTTTGACAAGCTTGGAGGAGCTCAGATGCAACGTCTTCTCGCCATGCCACCAATTGTCTTCTCCGTTGCGGTCGCTGTTTCTTTGACTGATCTCGAAGTCGTTCAGAAGTGCAGCTTCTCGCTGAGTAAGCTCGCCGCTCTTGAATGAAACTATAAGTACGCGCTCAGCAAGTGCCGATAGTTGCAGTCGTAGTTGCCGTCGCTGCTCAACTAGCTGCAACACTTCATCTGCCCGCTGCTTATGTCCTTCTGACGGTCCCGCTGAAGAAGTAACGAATTGATGTGCCTCCTGTGCCATTGCCTGCATATGCTAAACCCGTTCATGATTGGGTGTCTGTTCTTCTCGTCGGATTCGTTGATGTTGACCTGCTTCTCGGTTAAGTCGAAGTTCCAAAGCTGTGAGAGATTCTGCTCGGCGCATGCAACGACGTAAAGCGTGCACGAACTCTTCTCTGTTCCATGTGATCGTTGGACAAACAAATCCATGTCTAGGCGCAGACTTCATATGAGATGCCACGCCCAAGACAACGTTTTGACAATAATGCGCTCTCGCGTGGACAGGTATATGATCGCGATGATACTTAGACGGTATAATCTGCAATTCCGTAGCAAGTCGTCGCAGCGGCCCAGCACGGGTAACTGAGGAGATGAGACATATTGGAATACTAGAAAATCCAGATGTGAATTCTTTAACGTAGAACTGTAGAACGTCGAACCTCCCCCTCGGAATGTATTGTGTGGGATTATATCAAATTGTTCTAGTAGACGTAATACAACGTCAGCAACGTACCTTTCACGGACACGTGGTTCCGCTGTGCCAATACATTTCGAAGCAACCTCTTGCCATTCCTCTTGCCCTCGAACTCGCTGAAATCCGAAACCTGAATGGAGGTCCGCGCACACAATGGGGAGACAGAGATGTGAACACCATATTGGGAGCCTTTTGAGCCACTTCGCCAAGAGATCGCATGTACGTTGGTAGGCTGGCACACAACGTGCGTGATGAGGTGGAGGAGGAAAGTGGAGGCTGCAGATGCCGAAGTCGAAATGCCTGCTTCTGGTACGAATCGTTAAACCGCGACCTGCGGCCGATTGAGGGGTAGTCCAGATTCCGACGACGCTCCTGCAGGGGATCCTTGGACCAAGTACGATAGCACATCCTGATGCTTTGTTCGAGAAGGGATCCCTTTTCCAGCCATGAGAAACACACTATCTCCTGGGGTCTGCTGTCGTCCATTGTGCTACCTCTTGTCCATGCTGAGGTTATGTTGTGCCATTGAGACAGACAAAATCCATATTCCGAATCCTGAAGGATATCTCCTGCAATCTAGTCAGCAGCTAGACGAAAGTGGATTATATTGCTAGATCGAGATCTGCTGCGTCATGGATGAGGCCAGCGGCCCCCGTACAACTCTGCTGATGCGGATAATGAGGTGCAATGCAACTTTAGCAAAACATGAAATACCTATATCGTGCAGAAAGGTGATGGTAGGCTATATTATCGGATGTGCTGAGATAAGGAGGGTGCCCGAGCCAAGGGCACCTAGGAGGAGGAGGAGGAGGAGGAGGATGAAGGGGCCCAGGGACACACAAATAAATATACATTAACAACAGGATTCCCCAGATTCTCACTTATCTTCTGGGTTTTCGTCTTCCCCCTCACTTCCCATCTTTTCCCATATCTTCCTGGGAGTCGACGATTCATTGCGTCTGTGTGTTTTTACCCCTCCTGCGAAGGGGGAGGAAATGCGGGCTGGCCGAGGCCGGCAGAGCGGGGGCACATGCCGGCACGCGGGGCGCGGGGCTCATCGACGAGAACCGCCAGGATGGTGGCGACCACCTCCATGTATCTGTTCACTGCCTGCCATGGGGTGATCCTTCGGGCCGGCTCCTCATCCTCCTCCTTTCGCTCCTCCTCGCTCCTTCTCGCTCCTCTCGCTCCTCTCTCCGCTCTCCTCCTCCTCGCTCCTTCTCTCTCCGCTCCGTCTCCTCCTCCTCCTCCTCCTCCTCCTTCTCCTTCTCCTCTCCTCGTCCTCTCGCTCCTCTCCCCTCCTCCTTCTCCCCGCTCCTCCTCTCCTCCTTCTCCTCCTCCTCCTCCTCTCTCCTCTCGCTCCGCTCTCCTCCTCTTCCTCCCTCCTCCTCCGCCTCCTCCTCTTCCTTCTCCTCCTCCTCCTCCTCCTCCTCCTCCCTCCTCCTCCTCCTCCTCCCCGTAGCCGTGGAACAAAGCGAGCCGGCGAGCGGGAGGCCCTCGCGGACGCGCGCCCGCGGCGGGCTCGTGGGCGCGTGCCAGAGGCCGCGATGGAGGCACGGCGCGGGGCAGCTGCCAGCGCCCGCGCGCTGGCGCCGCGGCTCCGGCGGCAGGCGCGCGATTCGCGCGGCCTCCGCCGTTCCGCGGCGCTGGCGGCGCGCACGGAGGCGAGGCGCGCGGCGCTGGCTGCCCACTGGGAGTTGGGCGACGCCCTTGGCTGGCACCCCGCCGCCATGGGCGAGGCGCTCCGCGCGGCGGGGCCCCTCGAGCTCCCCACGAGGGCGGTGGAGGCTGCCTGAGGGGCTCGGCAGGCACGGCAGCTGGGGGGCGGCATGCGCCCCCGCCCGGGGAGCCGGCGCCTCCCCTGGACCAGTCCAGGAGCCCGTGGTCAAAGGTGAAGGGGCCCTGGGGACACACAAATAAATACACACAAATGAGAAGGTTCCCCATGTTTTCCTATATTTTCTGGGTTTTTGTCTTCCCCCCACTTCTCATATTTTCCCATCTTTTCTGGGGAATCGACGATTCATTGTGTCTGTGTTTTTTTCCCTCCTGAAAAGGGGGGGTGCTCGAGGACTTCAGGGGCAGGCTTTACGGCGTGCGGCCGCAGGACGAGGACCTCCTGCTCGCCCTCGGCGTTTGCGGCGAGCCGAGTGGCGGCGGCACCACTAGCGCGCCGAAGGCTGGCGAGGGCGAGGAGCGGGACAGCACCAGCCTGGCGAGCGGGGACGAGCACGAGCTGGGCGACAGCTTCGAGGAGCTGGGCGTGGAGGAGATCCAGGAGAACACGGCGCAGGTCCAGGAGACGACGCTGCAGGAGGTCGACGTGGAGGAGATCCTCGACGGCCAGCCGAAGCTCGTCGGCGGCCAGGTGTCATCATCATGGGCCACCAGGGCAGGACCCAGCCCATCGTCGGCTCGGCGCTGTGCTTCGGCGACTCGCTGGGGGCCCTGGTGGAGGAGGAGAGCATCGACGGCATGCCGACGCTCGACGCCAGCCAGGCGAGCGTCAAGGGCCACCAGGGCAGGACCCAGCCCATCATCGACGCGGAGGTGCGCGTCGGCGACTCGCAGGAGGCCCTCGAGGAGCAGGAGGGCATCGACGGCCCGCTGAAGCTCGACGGCTCGCCCTCCTCCCTCCAGCAGGAGCGGGATGGAGGCATGTTCCGCCGAATCGGCACGCCGCCAACTTTTCTGCGGGCAGATCGGAACCTGGTTAGACTGCACCTCAACTAGCGATGAAGCTCTGCTGCGCTTCGCTAGGCATGGCGTCGTTCTGCGCTCCTCCTCCTCCTCTTCCTTTTCCTCCAATTCCCTTCCCTTTCCTCTTCCTCCTGTTCTTTTTCCTCGCATCACCATAATAATAACACCTTCATAAACAGAAGGTCTCACAGATGCCCCTAGAAAGCTCACCGAAGGCCCAAACAGGGTGTCTCTCCCTCTTCTTCGCCCTCCCCTTATGCTCCATCTCCTTCCTCTCCTCTTCCTCCTCCTCGCTCCTCGCTCCTCGCTCCTCGCTCCTCCTCCTCCTCCTCCTCCTCCTCCTCCTCCTCCTCCTCCTCCTCCTCCTCCTCCTCTCTCTTCCTCCCCCAAGTGTTCCCCCAAGAGGGTCTACAACAGCTGGGGAAGCACCTAGCCCAATATGTTGGTCAGACTTTGGCTCAACGTTTGGCCACATGGGCGTTTTCAGAAAGGCAGGGGGCAGCGGTGGTGCGCCGTAGGCGTCTTCGATATTGTGCAACACAAGCTGACCAACACCGAATGAGCAACAGTCGTTTCAGCCTTTGTGGCCCCTTGAAGGTCCAAGAGGGCTTCAAGGCAGCTCTAGATTGCCTCAAGGCGGCCAAAGAGCCCACCACGACGGCCCAAGAAGACTCTTAGCGGACCCCCAGGAGGGCCACCACGAAGTCCCACGAGGGCCTGTCTGGTGACACGTCTCCGAAGCCTCCATGAGGCCACCGCGAAGTCTCGCAACGCCTAGACTTTACGCGCGCCAGACGCACTCGCCGCGCAGCGAAAATTCACGTCGCGAAGCGACGTGTTGCCAGATACATAGTGGCAGCATTGGAGAACCGAGGAGAAGCAATCGTTTCGGCCTCTTGTGCCTCTCGCGGGTCCAAAGGGCCTCAAGACGGTTCGGCATGGCCTCAAGACGGCCTAACATGTCCCCGTGACAGCCCCCAGAAGGCCTCGAGAAGCAAGCAGCACAGATTTCCGCAAACTGTTGCATGTCTTTCATTCCACAAACGATCAGAAGGGTCCAAGACTCCCAAGAGCGCCCCGAGACGATCCAGGCGGGCCTCCCGAGGCGGCAAAGGAGGGTTCCAAGGCGGCCTAAGAGGTAACCCAACACGTCCCAAGAGGCGCGCAGCACGGGCTAGAGAGGCCTCCAAGATGGTCCCAGGTGCCCGCAGTAGCGCAGAAGATGTCCCCATGACGGTCTCAAGACGGCTCACGAGGACGAAGGTCCCCCAAGACGCTCCAAGAGGACTTGCCAGGACGGCCTCGACATGCCAAGAACCAATCTATATATCTCCCTGAGCTGCTCGAGAGCGGCTTTCGCACTCTCGCTTTTTGTCGGACCTCCGAAAGAGCAAGACACTCCCAAGATCTGGGGGGGGGCTGGGTCAACTTGCTCGGGCCAAGCGGGGTCTCTGGGATGGAGCGGAAGGGGGAACGATAGGGAGGAAACATCGACTTGAAATCGGCGATGCATCGCCGATAGATCGGCGATAGGCCGATAGCGAAGCCAAGCGTTTCTGGGACGAGCGCCACATTTTGGAACGATCCAGGCTCCACCCTCGAAACTGTTGCAGACTTCAAGCTTCCATATCATCATCGGCGGGAAAGGCTCCAGCGAAACGCCTGGCCCGACCTGCGGACACGTTCGGTGGTGCGACAGGGAGGAGGGCAACATGTGAAAGAGATGGAGGAGGAAGGAGGGAGGCAGGAGAAAAACGCCACCGACGCCGACGCCGACGCCGCCGCCGACGCCGAGGAGGAAGCCGCCGACGCCGACGACGACGACCCCGCCGACGCCGACATGATGACGACGACGACGACGACGACGACGACGACGACGACGCCGAGGAAGCCGACGCCGACGCCGACGCCGACGACGCTGACGACGACGACGACGAGGAAGCCGACGCCGCCGCCGACGCCGACATGACGCCGACGACGACGACGCCGCCGACGCCGACGCCGACGACCCCCGCCGCCGCGCCGCGGCCTCCCGCCCGGCCGGCTCCTCCGCGACGGCGGCCCGCCCCACGGTGTCCGCCAGCTCCTGCACGGGGGCCGCCCCCAGGGCGCCCCGCGGCCCGGCGAGGAGTTGGAGGAGGAGGAGCAGGGAGGAGGGGGAGGAGGGGGGAGGGGGAGGAGCAGGGAGGAGGAGGAGGAGGAGGAGGAGGAGGAGGAGGAGGAGGGGGAGGAGGAGGAGCAGGGAGGAGGAGGGAGGTGGGAGGATCGGGAGGAAGAAGAGGACGGGGACGAGCGAGGAGAGGTGGAGGACGACCGAGTAGCAGGAGCTCCCAGACGCCCACCGCCACGATCTCTCTCCTCGCTCCACGGCCCCAGGAGCTCCCAGGCAGCGGGCGCCTCGAGAAGAAATCGAGACGGAGGTCTTGCATAGTTTTTGTTGGCCTCTCGGGGCCCTCGCCGGGCCTCGGGGCCGTCCAAAGAGCGACTCGGGAGGGAGAAAGCCCGTCCCAGGGCAGTGGTCGGGAGGTCGGGGGCCCGCGCCTCGAAGAAATCGAGACGTCGGCTCTCTGGGAGCTCCCGGCCCCTTCCCCGGGGTGCTCTTGCGCCCCAAACCCCCGACGCCATGATTTTTGTCATGACGTCGACCCCCAGAGGTTCCGGCCTCTTCCCCGGGGGGCAGGTTTTTCATCCTGCGCCGTTTTTTGCCGGTCCCGAGGCCCGGCAGGGGCCCCCAGAGGCCGAGAATGGCGAGAAACTCCCCGCCGTGATTTTTTCATGACTCGAGGGGGCCCGCATCTCGAAGACATCGAGACGTCGGATGCCTGGGAGCTCCGGGGTGGTCCTGCACCCTGGGCCCCCTTCTGCGGGCCCCCCGGGCCCGAGGACGGGCCCGCGGAGGCCGGCGTCCGGGCAGAGCCGCCGGCTTGAAGACTCGGGGGCGACGAGGAGGGCGACCACAGCCCAGGGGCGGGCATCAAACGTGTTCGCCCAGGAGCCTCCCTGAGATCCTGGCGTTGCAATTCTTTTGCCACGGACGTTTTCGCTCGATTTCGGGCCCCGGGACCCTCACAGATCGATCGGGCTCGAAATATGACGCGGGAAGATGGGCGACCAGCCCAGGGGCGGGCATGAAACTTGAGCAGGGACCGACCGTCCCGGCATTCCTATAGTCCGAGTCCTACCACGAAATGTTCTTATAGAACCCAAACATGTTCCAAGAACAGAAACAATGTTCTCAGAACATGTTCCCGATGTGTAAAACAAGACAGTCCCAGCCAGAAGTGTTCTAAGAACATTCCCTGGAAGCCACAGAAAGGTTCTTAGAACATTGCTTGGTAGGGCTACAGGCGAGCCAGGACGCCTCGCCACTGCTTGACAAACGTCTTCGCCCAGGAGCCCTGCCGAAGACATAGGGATCCTCGGCACCCCTGGCAATATCCGATGTCGTGATTATTTCAAGACGGGGCCCCCGGAAATCTCGACCCATTCCCCAGGACCGGTTGTTCATCCTGAGTCGTTTTTTGACAGTCCCAGGGCCCGGCGAGGGCCGCTAGGGGCCGAAAGTTTAGAAAAACCTCCGTCTTGATTTTTTCATTACGTTGAATCTCTGGGTCTGTCGTCGCCTGACGCCCGCGGCTCTCGGGGTCCGCGGCCTGCCGCTGGCCGCCGGCCGCCGGGCGCCGTCGGCCGGCCGAGCACCGCGGCGGCCGCTCGTCGGCGGTGCGCGTCGCTCGGGCCGCCCCGCGGCGCGGGGGGCCGCGCGCCGCGAGGCCCCCTCGGGGCGTCGACGCTCGGGGGGCCGGCCGTGGGGGGGCCTCTGGCCTTAGGGGGCCCTGGAAGCGACAGGGCCGTTTTTTTTTTTTTTTTTTTTTGTTGTAGTTTTTTTTTGTAGTTTTTTTTTTTGTTACCGGTTCCGTTCTGCCGTTTTTTCTCGCCGGCTCCGACGCCGGTTTTTTACCGGTTCGCGTCGCCGTTGTTTGACCGGTTCCGGCTCCGGTTCCAATCCTGGAGCCGTTTTTTTTGCCGTTTCCGGTCGCCGTTTGTTTACCGCTTCCATTTTCGAGGGCCATTTTTTTGGGAAACGGTGGAAAAACGGCCCTGCCGTTTCCGGGGCCCACAAAGCCTCTGGAGGATAGCCTCCAAAGGGACCTTGCAGTCAGCCCGTGCAGGAAGGAGGCGCGAGAGGGATGCAGGGGCCATGGGCGCCCACTGCGAAACTCTCCGAGCGGGGCGCGGCCAACGACCGTGGCGGCGGATGGGCCGAGGGGGCAAGGATGCAAGGGTACCCTTGGGAAGGCTGCCCATCCTTACTGTGCGGGTTGACTGCATGTGGAAAGACTGAGGGGTCAAAACATCCACCCCCAGAATAAGCACCCCGACACGCGAAGCCGTTCAAAAAAACGCGCCCAGAGAAGGAATCGAACAGGGCAGGGCTGTTGAATAAACGCCGAGGGCCGCTTCGTACACGCCAAGGGTCCGGTCCGGGTGGTTTTCCCTCCCAGGAGGACTGGGGTCCCGCCCCACTGGGGGGAAACTGGTCATTTTTGCTCCGCGGCACCCGCCGCCCTCAAGTCCTTCCTACGGGGGGGAAGGAGCAGGAGGAGGAGGAGGAGCAGGAGCAGGAGCAGGAGCAGGAGGAGGAGGAGGAGGAGGAGGAGGAGGAACAGGAGGAGGCGGGGGAGGAGGAGGCGGAGGAGGAGGCGGAGGAGGAGGCGGAGGCGGAGGAGGCGGAGGCGGAGGAGGCGGCGGAGGAGGAGGAGGAGGCGGAGGAGGAGGAGGGGGAGGAGGGAGGAGGAGGAGGAGGAGGAGGCTGAGGTTTGGGACCAGTCATATTCACCGCTGAAAGACAAGGGGGCGGGGACAAAACTAAAGACCTCGAGCGGTTAGCGTGTCGCGCCGAAGCGCGATGGGCCAGAACCAGCGGCGCGACACGCTAAACCAACGTTCCCGACCGGATTGCTATGCGGCGGGTTCGTGCCGTGACTACCCCGACGGTGGTTTCTGGCACCGCTTTCCGATCGCCAACTCGTTCCATTTTGGCTGATTCTGGTTCGCTGGCGGAATTCAACCTTGAACGTCCGCGGGGGCGTCGCCGTTGCGTCGTCACGACGCGAACCTGCCGTAGTGGAAGGAGGTGGCGGTCGCTTTAAGGATCAGCCGGCTGCCACCTCGTCGGGGTTCTGCTGCTGCTGGTGCTAAGGTTAGTGCTGGTGCTGATGATGATGCCGCTGCTACTGCTGCTGCTGCTGCTGCTGCTGCTGCTGATGATGATGATGATGATGATGATGATGATGATGATGATGATGATGATGCTGCATGCTCTTCCTCCTCCTCCTCCTTCTCCTCCTTCTCCTCCTCCTCCTCCTCCTCCCTGAAGTCCTCTGGTTTCTTCAGAAGTCCGTGGAGGTCCCCACAAGTCTCCAGAGCTCCCTGGAGGGCCAAGAAGGAGAAAACACATCCAAACATCTATCCTACTCCCTCTCTCCGTCGTCCTCCCCAGGGGCGCCCAAGATGGAGGGCGTCAAAGAGGAGGGTCGCAAATCATGACCCGCCGAGGTATGCGTGGGACGCGCAGAGACACACTCACACTATATGTCCTCCTTGGAGGCGCGCGTCCGACCCGAACATGTAATATACCCATCTTGTAATGTATCGTTTCCCGAGCGGTGTGGCCAAACAGCGCCCGCCATGACGCATATACTAAAAGATTTCTCGTTGCGCGCGTCGCCGCTGGGGGGGCGACGCACACAGATTATTAGTATGTTGGGGTGGCGCCGAATGTGCGCGGACAAGCGCGGACCAAGGGGCGTGCTGAAATCCGCCGAAACCTCGGCATGCCGCTCTTCCGTTTGATGTCGTCTTCGTCGTCGGTCCCACGGAAATTGAGGAATCAAGAGAAATACCTTCGTAGTTAAGCAGATTCCCTTCCCTCGGCGGTGGACAAACCTCCCTTTAGTAGACCTCCCCGTAGTGATAACGGCCTGGGACCGAAACCAACGGACCTGGACCCGCAAAAATGACGGCCGCGACGCCCTCTCGCGAACCGAAAACGGCCAATTCCTTAATCGACGTGTCAGGGTAGGAGGTCTGTCCACCCCCGATTCCCGTTGTCCTGGGGGTGGTGGGCTGGGGGCGGGGGTTGGTGGTAGGAGGGGGGCCCCGTGTCAGAATGCCGCCCCCCACGGGGCCCCAGCAGGTCCCGAGGGGGGTCGCCGGCGGGGGTCCTGGGAGAGGTCCCGCCCTCAAGGTCGGCGGCACCGGCAGTGAGGCCTCTGCAGTAAAGCAGAGGGGGCCGTGAAATCCGGGAAGACTTCATGGGCCTGGCCGGGGCTGAACCTAACCGGTGTTTTCCGTGTTCGTTTTGTTTTCGTTTTCCCTCGCTTTTGTCTCGAATCCGCCTTCACCTCAAAACGAAGTCGGCACGAGAGCGGCCCACGACATCGCCCCAAACACCGTGGTCCAGCCCTGGTCCTGGGCTCCTCCTCCTCCTCCTCCTCCTCCTCCTCCTCTCCTCCTCCTCCTCCTCCTCCTCCTCCTCCTCCTCCTCCTCCTCCTCCTCCTCTGGTGGCCGCTCGGGGCGGTCTGGGCACCCCTGGCAAGAGAGCCCCCGGCAGAGGCGCAGCCGACTGGCCAGAACTGGGGGAGCTGCGGTCCTTACCCCCCTGGGGGAACCCATCGCCTCGACGATCCCTCTCCTCCTCCTCCTCCTCCTCCTCCTCCTCCCTCCTCTCCCTTCTTCTCCTCTTCCTCCTCCGCCTCCTCCTCCTCCTCCTCCTACTCCTCCTCCCCCTAGATGGCGAGGGGTGTCGAAATCGATGGGTCCCCCAGGGGGGGTAAGGACCACAGCTCCCCCAGTGGTGGCTGGCCTGCGCAGCTGCTGGACAGCGGCCCGAGAGCCTGGAGGCCCGCGGAGAACCGACGAGGACGTCCGAAGACGTGCAAGAGAACGGCAGCATCATTGGAAACAGGAACTTCGACGAGCGCGTTCCACTACTCGCAAAGTCACTACAGGGCAGTTTTTAATACATGGGATTTTTTGTTTAAAAAACTGTTTGATGTTTTTTTATACATGACTAATCTATGAAT